ACACAAAGTATTCTTTTCTGTCATATCAACTCTAATGGGCTCTTGGTCAAGTCTACAAAAGGTGGATTTTCTCTTTTCCGCCTCGCAAAAAAACAGGTTCTCTGCAAAGTTGTCAAGTTTTATAGAACACCTCTGAAAATAACCAATACAGGTTCCTCCCTTTTGCTCTCCCACCTTCATGTCACAGTACCTGCCCCCTTATACACAAGGAGTCCATTTGGCCCTCTGAAATCAATAGTATCTCCAATCTTCATGCTATCTAGGTACTGGGACATCTTCCCACCTTCTGGAAACTTGGGATTCACATTTTTGTGGTAGACCTGTAAAAAAACCAATAACTTGTACGATATCAACCACTAATTTTCCTGTAGAGATTATTACAAACTGTAGAACACAATACTATGGGTCTGAAATGGGGCACCTGAGAAAAAAATTGAGACAATTCTTTGCTCTTATTCTGGCTGCTTCCTGTTGCAAGATTTAACAGATTACTAAGTTAAATGTGCTGTCATGCACTTGTCCCCATGCTCTGCAGCCAGGTCAACAAGAATGGGTGGCAGGCAGATTATCTGCTGGTGCCCTCATTTCACTGTCACTTCAGCAAGACCCTTGTGTCACCCCATTTTTGTAACCATTCCTTCTGAAAATAGCATTGCTGCATCTTTTTAAGACTTTCCCAGAGACTCAGCCACACGACAGCTTTTTCAGCTTTCAAAGCACATAGGAAGTATTAAGTAGCTAATAACAGTTCACCACACTTGTAGCATGAAGAACAGAGCATGCAAAAAAAAAAAAAAAAGCCCAGATTGCCTAAGGACAAACCCTATTGTAGAAAAGGATTAGAAAATCCAGAAGTCCTGGGATCAGATCATCCTGCATTCCCTGGCTTAAATGATTTCCCTTGTTTGACTTGTTTTCTACTTAGAGCTGTTAGTAGTAAGCATTAGCAGCAGCACAGGCATCTTGAGGGAGAGGGATCAGTTTTCATGCATTGCCAAATAAAAGATACTGGGGAAGTTCCTGCACTACTGCCAAGTGATTCCCTTCTCCATCTACTCTACCTCTGCTATCTCTAAGTGCCACACAGCAGATACACAGGATACAACTTACTATTCAAGGGTAATGTGAAATGAGTTGTTTGCCATGCATTCACCCTATTTGAAAGAAGATGAAACCTGATGAAAATGAAATTTAACAAGATTTGAATGAAAGAAGATGAAATTTGATGACTAAATCAAACCAAACCATATCATTAAAATGAAGTATTTGCCTTCCTTCCAGTTAGCAACTTATCTATATTAAAGCAAAACAAAATTTACCTTTATAATTAAATCAACGTAACCTTTTGTCTCGTCACTGGAAACTGGGGTATAGGCTCGAATCACCAGATTGCCATCGATTTTTGCAGAAAGGTAAACATGTTGGCCTGGGGAGAAAGAATTACAATCTGATTATTTTTTCATTCCTGGAGGACAAGAGAGAAAGGAAGGTAGTGTAACCTGTTACACACATGCAATGACAGCGAAAATCTTTGCCATATAATCACTGTACAAGACATCTGGTTTCTTCTCTTCTTTTAGCAACAGTTTCTGGAGCATGGAGTAACTGAGGAGAGCTGGTAAATACAGAAACAAGGATAAGGTACAAGGAAAGTAGGAAATTGATGGTAAAAAACAGCAATATGGAAAGTTTGCTGGTCATTTCTGAAGTGCTCTCTGTATTTTGGGTTCTGCTGTTCTCATATTCATTGATGAGGAGGATGTATGGGTACACCAGTTCACACAGGCACAGAAATATGCACTGTTTAACAGCAGCAACCTCTCAGAGCAAACTTCCCAGAGATCCTGCACTAAAACATCAAGAACAATGCCTTGGACCGTATTCCTTCTCTGTATCTTCTGCCTCCATAACCATAACGATCCTGGTAGAAAGCAGAAGGCAGGAATCTCCCAGAAAGTAACCTGGCCCATACAGTTTCAGGATCTTATTCCTATATTCTTAAGAAAGAAGTCTAGAGGAACACAATCACTGCAAGGCACATCTTGGTTGGTTTAGCATTTATCTAGTTAATGCAGACAGTTAACTACTCTTTCCCATGCAAGCCAGAAGAGAATTTGGAGAAAGACAGCTGCCCTTGACCCCTTGACAGGCAGCATGCAAGAAGGACGTGCTCACAGCATGGAATGGGAAAACCCTGACACTTGCCATCCAGCACGGGACACTGCGAAACAGTACAGAACAAACAGGGCTGCATCTGCCACATCTGCAGATCAGAGAGAGACACAGACTTTCCCCTACAGAGATTACCATCAATTCAAGGTCCAAGGTTCAGTGCTATCGGTGTTCCAGGGTACAGGGAAGTAGAGTGTGCCAATCCTAGCCTGAAATTAACTTCATGCTACAGAACTCAAGACAGAGTTGCACAGAAACGTGTGTAAATCAAAGGTAAAGTGCATGCAGGCTCTGAATATTTCAGCATCTTCTATATACGCTAGTTGTATTTCCCCCAGTAGTTACAAGCTTCCCAGGCAGAAGACTTGTTCTCTTTCTCATTTACAAGCGTAACTGTGTTTTCCAAAAGCATGAGGCCAGCTGGCAATAAACTAAGGGCACCAGATGGAAGTAGAATGCAAATAAGAGATATGAAAGCTACCATTTACTACATTTGACAGCTACCATTCTTGCTTATATCCTGACTGGTGATGAATTCCATCAGACAGTTCAGTTTCACTGCTCTTGTTCTAAACCACAAGCAGTTCTAAACTGAACACAAGCAGAACAAAGCACACACAAAAGATCAGCAATACAACCCTTTGGGAAACCTGACACTTCTCTCTGAGAACAGCAGCGTTCAGATGCAGCTCTTAACTCCTCGCTTTGCTGAGCCTTAAATTCCCAAACAGTCAGAAGTCCAAGGACTATGAGAACAGTTACAAATCCTAAAAAAAAGAAATATATGTGATTAAACATTTCCAGTACTTACCTACAGGTAATCCTAATATATGATCAGTTGAAGGTAGCCCAAATCGGAATTTCTTAGTGTCATGACTGATTTCCTGGAAAGCAAAGTTAGAATAAGGTCAACATCACCACTGCTTTGAATTTGAAACTATGCTCAACACAGTAGGCTTCAGTAAGCCTGCTGTGTTAGCATGCACGCAGAATGCTGGGAAAGGACACAGAAATGGCTTTGAAAAATAAAGTTTAAATAAATCAGAAGAAGTTTTAGAAGCGGTCTTTTCCTCTTTAATTCCACAAGGAGTGACATTTTGCCTGTCTGCCCAATCCCTACGGCACCTTTGCGTGCAGCAAAATCTGGAAACTCTATTGCCCAAGGCCGGTGAGCACATGCCGTGACTGCGGCCAAAGATCAAGGCGAGACAGGGCGTGCAGAAACACGCGGGGTCGCATCTCACTGACGGCACACAGGGCAGAAATCCGGGGAGAAACGCAGCCAGGACTTAAAACACGAAGCAACCAGCCTACCCTGCGGAAACCCACATTCCCCAGACCCCGGCCCCGCAGCCCCCCCCGGACCCCGCGCTCGGTCACCTCCTTGTCCAGCAGCCGCAGCGGGTACTTGGCGAGCGGGTCCTGCAGGGTGACGGGCCCGCTCGTCCTCCGCCCGCTCCCCCGCAGCAGCAGCAGCAGCAGGGCCGAGACCGCCACCACGGCCACGGCGACGGCCACAGGCGCTCCCTGTGGGGAGGAGAAGGGCAGGCGGTGAGGGCTCCCGTCCCAGCTCCCGCTCCCGGCTCGGCCCGGTCCCCCCCGCCCGGCCCCTCACCCCCAGCGCCTCCATGGCTGCCGCCTTCCCGCAGCTCCCGCCGGTCCGGCTCTGCCCGCCCTCTGCCCGCCCCGCCCCGGGTCCCGCCCGCTCCCGCCTCCGCTCCTGCCTCCCGGTCCCGCCCTGGCGGTCCCGCCGCCGGGCGAGCCTGGGGAAGGGCTGGGGCAGGGCTGGGGTGGGACCCGGGAACGAAGACCTACTCGGAGCCCCGCTCCGCCCGGCTGCCTCGGGAGCCGAATTACAGTGTGTGCAGTGTCTGAGTTCACGGAATCACAGAATCAATTAGGTTGGAAAAGACCTCTGAGATCACAGAGATTTAATAATCAGGCACTGGAATGGGCTGCCCAGGGAAGTACTGGATTCTCCGTCCGTGGAGGTTTTTAAGATGAGGCTGGATGCGGCACTTAGTGCCACGGTCTGGTAACCACGGCGGTGTTGGATGAAGGGTTGGACTTGATGATCTCGGAGGTCCTTTCCAACCCGGCTGATTCTATGGTTCTGTGATCATCGAGTCCAAGCTATGACCGAACACCACCATGTCAGACTGTGGCACTAAATGTCACGTCCAGTCTTCCCTTGAACACCTCCAGGAACGGTGACTGCACCACCTCCCTGGGCAGCCCACTCCAATGTTTAATCAGTCACCCTTCCTGTGAAGAAATTCTTCCCTATGTCCAGCCTGAACCTCCCTTGGTGCAGCTTGAGGCCAATTCCTTGTCCCATCTCTAGTTGCCTGGGAGAAGAGGCCAATCCCACTGGACTACAGCCTCCTTTTAGGAAGTTGTAGAGAGCAAAAAGATCTCCCTTGAGCCTCCTTTTCTGCAGGCTAAAAACTCTCTCAGCTACTCCTCACAGGACTTACCCTCCAGACTCTTCATCAGCTTCATTCCCTTCTCTGGACATGCTCCAGCACCTGCTTCCTGAACTGAGGAGCCCAGAACTGGACAGAGCACTCGAAGTGTGGCCTCACCAGCGCTGAGTACAGGGGAACAATCACTTCCCTAGTCCTGCTGGCCACATTTGTAAATCTCAGGCACATTTCAGAATTCCAAGTGTTTTATCAGCACTTCACGTGTCCTATGTGCAGAGCTCACCAACAGAGGGCCGTGGGGCAGTGTTGGAGTGGATGGAGCACACCATGGACACAGGGCCACTGCAAGCAACCAGACCACTCTGCACAGAACTGCAGGAGAGGAACAGCCACACAATCCAGTCCACTCTTCCTTCCCCTGCCTCAATTCTCATTGCGTTCACGTTCAGCAGCAGAAACAGGGAAGCAGGAACTCTGGTCCAGAGGCCCGATTTGCCACAGTCTTTCCTGTAAAATAGCAAAGAAATATCAATGCAACCTTAAAAGCTATTGATGCAATGGTCAAAGATACAGTTGGCATGTTTCTTTTCCATACCCAAACTTCTTCCCTCAAGGCTGCAATAGGTACAGCCCTAATTAAAGGCCATTATGGCTGGGCCATTGTTACAGGCAAAGACTGTGTTACAGTGCCAGTACTATTCCTAATGCTTCTTCAATTTTTGTTGATTATTTTCTTTTATGACAAAGGCAGAGCTTTGGTTTGTATAAAATAATACTTTTTTTTCCCCCTCTTCAAACCACCAAGCCTAGTCCTTTTCCTCTTGTTAACTTGTCTTACACAAAGGTAACACCCACAGTTCATCTGGTGTTACTATTAAATTCACTCTTTTGAAAGCATACAAAGAACCAGGACTAGTCACATCAGATGAAGAAATAACACTATCTTCTGTGCACCCAGAGTATGAGAATAAATGGATTCCTAAATGAGAAAAAAACCCCTACCCTTGTGCCACTTCTCCTCATAATGTACAAGGGAAAAAAGGGGAGGGGGAAAAAAGAAAACTGGATCTTCTGAAATCTTCTGGAAGGTTCCATGAGAATGTAGTTGTACACTACTATGTAACTACTGTGATTGTCACATCCATTTGGGCAGACCCACAGTGAGAGTCTGCCCAAAGGAGAATCAGGAAAGGCATGGCATGCTCCTCCAGGCAGAGGAGCACAGGGAGCAGGACACCATTTCAGATCTAACCAGGGTGACTTATGGTCACAGATTCTCATGTTAACCAAAGTTCAGAACAAGATATTTTTGGACATAAAAGTCCAAAATATTCTAAATATTTAGATATATAGATATTTTTACTTACATACCAACAGAAGAAGGTTTATAACCAGATTTTGAGCACACAGAGAACTTGAGCCTAACTCACTACTCAGGTAGCCTACTAGTATCCTACCTTTTAACTGTAGGGTTTGGGATAGCCTCATGTAACTGTAAAGAATTAAAGGGGTCTCCATACAAATTCTATTTTAGTAAAAACTAAAATAGAATTCCATTACATGAGCTCCATTGAAAATAATTTTTTACTTATTTATTTATTTTAATCAGATTTCATTTGCCTCACAAAAAAAGTTCACATTATTGCTAAGAGATACTGGCAGCTCACAGTAGACTAAAAAGATGCAACAAACAAAAGCCAAACTAGACTGCTTGTAAAACCATACTAAGAGAAACACAGAAGGTCAACATGAAGCAGTCAAGCAAAAAGTAAGTACCCTAAAAAGCCAATCAAATACCAGTATTTTAAGATAGCATGCTGAATAGATGAAAGGAATTTTCATAAGATTTATCAGCATATAACCACTGCATTCAGTATCAGCACAGCTGACACCACCTGTAGATCTCCCTTCACCTTTTTATTTTTCTGAACATATCCATTTGAAATCCTTGTGTTAAATTAATAAACAGATAAAAACTTTACAGGTATTTTAGGTCATCTTGTTCCTATTGAGCAAAACAGAAAAGCAACTAGGTGATTATACAAATCTGCTCCCAACATAAAGTGACACAGCTGGTAATGGCAACTTCCACTATAACTAAACATTAACAGACTTCCATAAAAAGAAATTACAAAGGATATTTTCCCTCCATTGCCCTTCAATGATCTCTTCAGAGAGCCTATCAAAGGCAGAACAAGCATACTCTATCGATAATGTAATACAGCTGTGAATCTGAATCACTTAATCTGAATTTGCTCATAGTCCTTCCACAATGAAGTATTTTCATGGCTTCACAGAAAACTCGTTCTCAATATTTTGTGGGGTTTTGCCTCAAACTTTACACTGAGAGAAGAAAGTGGCGAATATGTTTACCTTACTCGTTTGGGAATAAAGGCTGAGATTATTTTTTTCCCCAGCTAAAAAATAAAATTATAGCTTTAAAAAAAACCAAACCAACCCAAAACAAAACCTAAAAACAAACAAACAACCCCCCACAGAAGCTCTAAACTAATATAATCAAAAAAGTAGGATTACTGGCATTAAATGCTTGTATGGGAAACAACTCTAAAGATTTTTGCCATTAATATCAACAGAAACAAAATGAGGTATCTTACTTTCTAGTTGTTATCTCAGTCAAAGGAGGATTGTACTTGTGCTATCAGTACTATCCTACTGATCTAGTTTCTAAACACTGAGGCTGTGACCAGAACAGTCTGCAAAGCTACTTGGAGCCTGTCACCCTGTGGACATTTAACAAACTGCTATTTATAGGTTAATGCTTTGCAGTGTGTGGATTACACAGTACCTCTGTAATTATATGTCTGGATTAATTAGGATAGCTGTCAGTTCTTGCATAGTGCCAAAAGCCTTTGGCCTGTACCACCTGCCTTTTCAAACACTTCTATCTGTTTAAACAAGTCAAGATTATGCATCTGTGACATGGACCAGGGAACATGCCGGAAACTCCATGCAACAAGTTTAGGAAGAAGGTCTTGGAAAAACATTTATCCAGTGTGAGTGAAGTGGCAAGTTGTGCCTCAATTATTTCTGTCTTACTGATGGTCACTAGTGAACATACAGACAACACTGCTCTCACTCCCACATCCTCCAGGATACTGAGCTTTGGAGCTCATTGCTGGTGAAGTCTCAGGTGTGTGTTGATACAATTTGTTGATGCACACAGAAGCTGTTGTGTTAATGCAGATTAAAGTCACCATGCAAGCTGTTAGATTGCTGCGTCATCAACAATCTGAGAGATGCATTTACAATAAAAGCAATTTTGCAAGATAGATTTATATTTTATTACTAAGCAGAACACATAGTACCTGTCTGTACTCTTGCTCTGTAAGATCATGAAGTGCTGTTACCACCATCCATAAATCTCTGTATAGTTCCCTAAGGGAAAAAAAAAAGATCATTATCAGGCTGATAGAAACCTGTGAGTCTTAAAACCTACTAAGTTCCTAGAACATGTGTGTGGAGCAAAAGAATCCAGTACCAGTGTAAGCTGTAGGGAGCTGGTAACAATAACTGCTCCAGCCACCCTGGACAGAACCACTGTCACTGGACAGAGACACACTATGCAATTACAGACATTCCCAGGGAAGGGTTCATCCCAGTGTACATACTTGGAATCAAGGCAGTGGGCAGCTGTGGCAACCCATTCTTTGGCAAGAACTGCTCCTCCACAGATAGGCTCATCTGAAATTTGTACACTGGCCTGCCAAGACCATGAGGGTGGTACAGCTTCTTCACCTCCAGTTATCCTGCTGAAGATGAGCCTGGGCTGATTTGAAGGCATTCCACAAGTATCATCTCAAACAAAAAGAAAGCACTGATGTTTCAAGAAGTCTTTAGAGGTTAAGATTTGGAGAAGGAAAGAACATTCCATTTAAGGATTGCCCCATAGCTTCTCAAGCCTCCGCTCCCCACCCTTTTTTGCTAAATCTTCCAACCTCCCTCATTACAAAGGATCCAAATGTTTAGAACTAGCAGGAGGAGATGGTCTTAGCAAAAAAAGAGCTGCACCAAGATGAAAGCTACTACTTCAAAAGTTTTAGCCTCAAACCTACAATGAGCATGGACTCATCCCATTCTCCATAAAGTGCTGGAGGGGAAAATGCTGGTTATTGTTTTCAATTACCCTGTAGTCTCTGCAATTATTTTCACCAAAGGAAGGAGGTGTAAAATGACATACAAGCTAAATTGTCATTGCATTGCTGTACATGATTTAACAAGATGAAGGAAACAAGAAAAATTAAGTTCTGCTAAAGCCAAAGCATGTGTTACTGTTCATATTTTTATTTCCTTAAAATACCTTAATGAAGAAATCTGGGACAACAGCAATCATTAAATAATTGTAGAATCTGTAGTCCAAAAGTTACTCTCTACTCCCATGAAGAAAATATAACTCAGCTTGGTTTACCTCTTGTAACCTGCATTTCTTCTTCAGTCATATCCATATCCATACCTCCAGATTCTTCTTCACTAGTTGGATTCAGTCTATCTAAATCTAGCAAACGTGTTAGTAGGCTGTCTTGAGCCATATTTATATTATAAAACCACTTTTATTTCCTTAATTTTGGGGGGAATAAAGGCAGAGAGATTAGAAGGAATAGATTTCTACTTTAGGGATCTGTGCTACTACATCTTCACATGGTAGTGAAGTGCCATTTAAAATGCACCAAAACACTCTTACACAAATAAATCTCTCAGATTTTGCGTAGATTCACTGTTTCTTCACCATTCAGTAGGCCTTTGTTTAATGCCTCAATAGGTTCACAGTATTTTTTTTTTCCACTGAAACAATTTGCTAGATGAGACTCTCCTAGAGCAAAATAATTCTGAATAGCTGATTTACTGAAGAGCCCTCTGTGCTGCCCCAGAGGGCCATTTTCCCAAGTTACTTGTATTACCTGCTACATGAACAAAAGAGGCTGTGGTTCTGAATCCTCCAAAGGTCTCTGTTTCATCAGGGTAAAAGACAACCAGCATTACAGCAGAGGAGCTTAGGACAGGTGCCACTAGGGCAAATCCACAAGGCTTGGCTAAAGATGAGAAAGCAAAGGCTCACTTTGCAGATTAACTGGTACTTTTTAATCCTTCTCTCCTTCAGCAGCAGGTATGCAATATTCTGTGTATTCCAGCTCTCACACAGGAGGGTGAAAAATAACCATATACAAGAGATAAGGAGACTGAGGCTGAAGGACTGTTCTGTTATTACTGACATCCTGTCCTTGCTCAGTAATTACCTCATCAGCACATCTCTGGCAGGATTTCACAACAGTCTATTGCAGCACCCACACCCACAGGTTGCCATTACACGTGAAACACACCAATTATCTGATTTCCCCTTATCAGTGTTTTAGAAGTAGCCTCTGCTGGTGCCAATCTAAGTACCAGGTTCAAGCAAGTGCTGAAATCAGTTGATTGGGACAGGCCTTCCTCTCATCCAGGTGGCAGGGACACTGCTCTGGAGTAAAGAACAGCAGATCTCTTAGGTGTTTTCTGTGTCTGATCATCACTATAAAACCAAATTATTGTGTTATGTTCTTTTCTTCATTTAAATGAATTCAGAGCTGCATTTTCTATAGAATTTAAACACACAAAACCAATTCTGTTTGATGTGGTTTTGCCTCTGTAAGTGGAACAGAGGCAGCAATACCTGCAGGTATTTTTCAAGGTACTGAAACTAGTACCTATAATATCACCTGAGACTCTAGAGGTGAACTTGATTTTAGACTGGACAATAGGGCTAGTGAAAGTCGTAAAAGAAATAGGCCATCCCCAAAATAAAGAATCAAAAGTCAAACCGATTTCCTCCTCTTTTCCCACATCTTCATACACAGTCACTGCATCATAGGAGCAATCTTCACTCTCTTCTACCTCAAAGGACTGGTAGGTAAGTTTTAAATAAAAAATGAAAAACTGAACCTTGTTTTTAAAAGTCACATAGAAAAAATTCAAAGATCTGTAACAGGGTCATTAGTATTCTGAATGATTCTTGTAAGGTTTGCTTTCTGTGACATTCAGACCTCCCACAGGTGACACATAATGCATTACATGTTCTAGAAGAATCTGTCATGATATAATCGAAACCAGGAAACCCTGTTTTACTATAATCTATAGGACAAATCAAAACCTCTCTGTCTTTTGGGACTGAAAGTGATTTCTCTTAACTGCATCCAGCAGCATTATTCAAGCTCATGTTGCTTGACCTTCCTTATCCTTAAGCTGCATAATTTCTTATTAAACCAATGATGCCACTTCCACCCTGTAGACACAAGAAGGTTTCATGTAATACCTTGGTTCCATGGTCCTCTGGTGCATAAATAATCCATTGACAGTCTGCCGTGTTGCTGTAGTGTTCTGGCTAGTGTGTACTCTGTAAGACTCCTTCTTCAAAAAGGACAGCTAGGGGCTCACAGCCAGAATCTCAAAGTCCAGGAAAACAAAAATGGAAGCACTGTGACTTCCTATTAAATCATTCACAAAAAAAAAAAAAAAGAAAAAAGAAAATTCCAGAAAAACTCTTGTGATGCTTTCTCACAGCTGAGGAAGAGAATAGGACAAGAGCAGGTCTGAAGAATACTTGCCAACTTTTTTTGGAGAGGAAAGTGGAGACGAACAGAAACAGAGGATGTGTCTTTCTGATGGGCTGTGCAGTGGCAAGGCCCTCAGAGGGGATTCCTCCTCACACTCTGCCCTCACACTCTGCAAAGGAAAGAACCAGCTGGAAAAGCTGCAGAAATGGGAACAGGAGTCTGTAACTTAAGACCCAGTAGGTGGCCCTAGGGCCCACTCCCTAGGGATGGTGAACTGCTCTGCACAGCATAACCAAAAGCAATTCTCTATGACACGAATTTTAGCATCAGCTGCCTCCCTCAGGGCCCCTCCATGAAAGCCCAGGACTAGCAAAGCAGCTTTCATCTGGAAATTCTGCTCCTTTGATTAATCTTATTAATTGATTTTTAAAAACATTCTGGAAGCAGAGAAGGAAATGAGATCTTATATAAAGTGGGTGGAGCAGATGCAAAGTTAAAGGAGGACTTCTCTCAACAGCATCTATCCTATCTTGTTCTGGCATCCTAGTTTTTCCCACAGTGTCACATGGCAGCCTAGCCACACTCACCTTGTTCATTACTCCATCCACATAGGAATACCATAGGAGATTCCTCTGATTTATTTTCTCCTGATTTTTTTTGTCAGGTCACTGCCCAAGAGTGCAAACAGGTGTATTACTAAACTTAGACTTACCAGGAAGAATATCTGGTGTAAGAGCTTTGTAGGTCATGGAAAAACCAGTTCCATAATCCTCATGGTCAGAAAAAAATTTCAGCCTTATACTATTGGAGCCAAACAAAATTGGTAATGGAGGATCTTCTCCACAGAATTTCCCTGAAATATAATATTAGGGAATCATCACTGCTTAAAGTCTTTAGTCACTTGAGAAAACCTGCATGTACCATTTCTAGTACTTAGCTATAAAAATTTTATGATGGAGAGGAAATTGCCTATTCATTCATCTCCTTTCCCTATTAAATCATTAGCCTAAATAGATTTGCGCTCTTAAAAGTTGAAAATCATTGACACCAGAAAGTCATATGCTGACTTGCCATATGTCATATTTCCTTGCCAGGCATTTTCCAGTCTCTTCTCTTCCCACACTCCTGGTCTTTTACTTTAGATCCCATGTCACAACGTATTAATCATGAAAATGCAAGTAAAACAACCAACCTCCATGTCCTCATTGGGTGCCCTTGCTGTTAGAATCCAAGAGTACTCTGACATGTTATAGATCTTAAAGGTCTTTTCCAACCAGAATGATTCTATGATTATTTCAAAGAATAAAGGGACAACAACTCACCCACGAGACTGTCATCTTTTGAACAGACTGATAAAGAACCATAGTCACAGAATGTTTCTGGCTCTGCATCAAAGTGGGAAAACCGAAGCAATATGTAATTCCCTTCTGGCACAAATAGTCCATATATGCAATCTGGAATAATAAATTGGTTCCTATTCTCAAAAATACAACAAAAAACCCCCAAAACCTACCCTGGTATGGGGAATAGTTTCTGGGGAAAGGCTGTGTTTTGTCTACTTACTGGTGGTTTTCATAGAACTGTTTGGGACTTCCAGGAAAATGTAATTCCCCCCTTCACTGTCACGGAGTTTGCCATCCTGAATGCTACAAAATGCTGTGTTGGAGAGTTAAAACAAAATAGAAGGAATCAGGTTTAACACATGTGCCACCATCTGTACCACCAAAAAGATCAAACATCTGGACAATATTGTGAGACTCAAGATTGCTCAGCTGTACTTTGTTTCTCCTGGCAGACTGATGCTGGGTCTTCTCTCTTTTGTTTGGAATTATATAAGTCAGTGTTAAAACACATAATTTGGAAGCAAAAATGAAGGCCCTGCCAACGAGTCATCATTTTATTGTAAAAATGGCAGTGCTTGCTTTTTACCTTAACAAAGCTATTTTTCATGTGAAGATTTCAGTACAAATGATTTTCAGGGAGGAAAAATGCAAACTTCAGGACATGACAAAAGTGTTCATGGCAGCCCATTTGTAATAATGTCCTTAGTTATGTTACAGCAGGAGACTTTTGCAACAGTACAACAGTTGCTGTTACAGACACTATAATAGAAGAAGCAGAAGCTTTTCTCTAGAAATGCAATTAATTACAAAAATCATCTCCTCTTGCCTTTCCTTCTCTTTGCAAGGTAACACAATAAGAGCAACATTTATCAACAACTATGTGTAAGAAAACAAATTTAAGGAGTCAAGTACTTATAAGATTATCTTACCTGCAGCATCCTAGGAAGCCCAGTAAAAAATCTGAAAAAGACACAAACAGCACTTAAATGCCCAGTTCTCCCTGGCCACAGCAAGTCTACACAGACTGGCCACGTGCCCAAGTGTGTTTGTTATTTGAGAAGTCTCACTGTAGATTACTAAAATTAAAGTTTTAAGATCTACTTCAAAAGACTTGTTTCTAGTATTTTTATGTGAACTTGTACCTAGATGAACAGTGTCCAAGAACAACATTACCAGGGCACAGTCAACATAAGCCTTCAGTTTTAAAACGTGTTACATCTGGGGATGGCTTTCATGGGGCTTTTTTTGGTTTTAGGTTTTATTCTCAGAAATAGACAAGTAGATTCATCACAGACTGTGCAAAAATACTACTAATTCACCACATACTTTCTATTTAGAATGTACATTTTTTATACAGTATCAAAATCACTAAGTTTCATGCATTGCTAGAGGTTCTATTTCTACATTTTTCCCATTAATTTTTGTTGCATTTCAATAAAAATATGGCCTCATATATATAGCTGTTTTAAGGAAAATTCATTTTTTAAGTCAGCAATGTGCAAATACAACCCTCCAAATGTAATTTTTTTTACAGAAGCAGAATGAAAAAGTATCTATTTAAAGTATACCTTTAAAAGCACTTTGATGAGTCGAAGATTCTGTACATTTCTTCCTTCATAAATTATACATCCGACTATTTTAGGGGTCTTTTTATGCTCTAACACAGATAGAAGATACTGAAAAAACCCACTGTACTCACCTGTGGAGCTTCTCATTTTCAGATCTAATAAGGGGAGGATAGGGAAGGGGGTGGAAAAAGAAGAATAAATTGCTGTAGTTTCATACCCACAATATGGGCTTTACTTTTATCTGTGTGAAATGGTAACCACATACAGCTAATACTGAGGCAAATTCTAGTGCTTCCTGGGGACATGTAGTGCCTACAATAAACTAGGCCTTAGAACCAAAACAAAATTGCAAGTTAAGGCGATGCTGACTTCGGAATAAACAATTCTGGAGTAGCCACTGCTAGAATTAATGACATATTGACAGGCCACTGCTCAGCCTGAGGAGCACAGCACTCGCTTTCTATGCACTTGCTGAGTAAATACCTGAAACACATTTCAGGGAAGAGCAGCAGAATCCAACTGGCACCATCCCATCAGGGATATGGAGACATTCAGCCTGACAACAATTGCAGTTCACATCTTTTGCACCAGTGAGATGGTACAAAGGGGTGAGCAAGCAAACCCTAGTGCAGTGCAACTGAGGATTGTGTTCTCTCTTTACCTACTGAATCACTTCTGCTGCTCACTGGAGCCAACACATTTTAATTACTGCAACAGCTAATCCCATTATTTTCTCTTCATAATAAAATGAGCCAGCTAGTAAATATTTAAAAAGAAGACCCTATCTCTCTCTTCTAAATTGAAACCCCAAACTTTTTTTAGAAACTAAACCCTTTTCATGTTTCTCTGACATTGTGAGTGTTCCTTTTTTGAATCACCAATTGGAGATGTTTTCTAATTTTATTTTTCCCCTCCCATTTTTTTTTCATTCTTATTGACTAGCTGAACCTCTTAAGTAACCCTCCTTCAGTTTTTCAGGTCTCTGTGGAAGCTTTAACACAATCTCCAATATCTTTTAACAAAAATAGCCCAAAGCAGAAGAACACATTAATTCAGTTTCTTAGTACTCTCAGTAAAATTCACCCCTGTCATTTCTGTCTCCAACTCCATGGCTTTGGAAGTAATGGCTAATTGTAACACTGTTCCCGTGATAGGGGGCACACTTGGCCTTTTGGGCAGAGTAAACAAAGAAACTTTTGAGCATGACTTGACCCCATGTTGTCAAATGTCTGATCCAACATGTTTTAGCCAAGAAAAATGACAAGTGACTTCAAAGAGGCACATATGGAATCTCAGACACTTTCAACTGGTGAACTTCCACTTTAAAAAAGTAATCAAAAAACCAGGCTAACAGGCTAGGTGAAGAAAAGGACCATTCTTAAAGTTAAAAAAAAATAAAGGGTCCAAGTAGGAGACAAAGTATAGTGGAAGGGTAGCAAACATTTACAATGCTTCCAATTTGGTTTTGGCAACTGCTCAATCAGTATCATACATTTAAAGGCATTGTGAAATGCTACAGTGTTTTGCCAGGAAACAATGGGGAAAAAATATAAGTGCTATATCCTGAAAAGACAAAAGCAAATAAAATGTTATGAGACAGAGGAGTTGTCACAAGTGAAAGACACATTACTGTGGAGACTTAATACCAGCACCCATGTTCTCTTGAATCCAGGAAAGCACTGCACTGAGGCCTGTGAATATTCCAGGAGATCCCCTGTAGTAATGTTTCTTCTTCTCATTACTTATCCAGCCATGGGCACATCCCATCCCCCAGAAGATCACACCAGCAAGAGCCCAGGCACCGTGCTTACATCGACACAAAAGGGGGCCTTCCTGAGTCTCCCTGCAAGAAAAACCCAAACATGTAAAAGTCCGTGACCCACGTCTTACAGAAGTACCACTAAGAAGCCTTAAGAAGTTTATCGAGTTCTCTTTTGTGCCATACTAACAAACCTGCAACATACACAGTCATTTCACACAGTCATTTTAAAAGGAGCTGTAAGTACACACACCTTTTTTTATTGTGTTTAGTCCAGATTGTCAAGAGGGGAAAAGACAGATTAGTTCCCTCATGAGCATATCTCTGTCATGTTTGAGCATGTAAAAAGGAGTGAGAAACAGTCACCTAACTTTTATCTCACTTCCTTTCCTTCCTGTAATCCAAGGCAATACTTTCTGCTTTCATCCTCAGGATCTTTGCAACCTTAATTAACTTATCAAGTGTTCTGAGGTTAGAAAGCCCTAAGCATCATTGCACTCGGGATGCATTGCAAAATTGCTCTCAAGAACCTGTCATACAACTCATACAATAATTAAAATGGGATCGTGTCATTAAGTGCATTGCCCCATACAGAACTTTTGAAAGAATTCATACACCAAAATAAATACACTCCAAATCTCACAGTTTACATCGTATTTATTTACTTTGGCACACGGAGCCTTCAGCTTCTGAGAAACACTCCCAAAAGGCACGCAAGGCTTCTGTTCAGCTGACCTGGCAGGCATCTTTTCCTCCACCTGGAAATCCAGCACACATTATGGTGTCACCTTGGATGCGTTTCTTTAAAGTTGATAATGCTCTTGAACACTCTTTGCTGTTTAGGATTGGCAGATCAACTTCATATAAGACCTGAGGGAGCAGTCCATCTGAAACACATAAAAAACATTCATAAGAAGTGCTGAAAGGTGAACTTGATGTCACTGCTAATACACCATAAAAATTGGTTGGGCACTTGCCCCAAGATATTTTACGGTTACAAGCATTTTTTTTGTATACAAGCAGTTTTACTTGAACAAATTCCAACACGTTTCAAAATTGAAATTCAGATCTACCTTTTGTAGTGACCAGTTTTGAGGTAATTCACGGGTAGGCATAGAAGCAAAGACCCCATTTTAAGATTACAGTTCTTTAGACCAGTTGATAGTTTCTCCTGGTCTGGCTCTGACCTGTGCAATCAAGGTTTTAGCTTCACAAATAAGACACTGAAAAACCTGAATGTCACAGAACAGTGTGAGTGACTTACTTCCATCTAAACAGCCCCAACCACAAGCAGTGCAGACATATCCTGCTTCAAACTTTTCACCTGGATGAGGAAGACATGCTGGCAAAACTGTTGAACCTGCCACATGTGGACATGGATTTTATTGGTAAGTATTTGAAAGAACATTAAGAAAAAGCTTCCTTTATAAGTTTTCAGGTTTGGGTTTGGGTTTTTTTTAAAACCAAAAAAAATTATTGTTATTTTTGTGGAATCTGAAAAATTAGTCTGGTATTGACAATTTATCCTCTGCATGCAAAGAGCAATAGCTTTTTCTTCATGGGAGAAAAAAAATCACAGATAATTATGGTCTTACTGAAGTTGAAGGCTCCATCCAGCTTCAGAAGGGGAATGTCATGTCTCTCATGTCTAGGGAGCTCACAGGTCAAAAACTTAGAGGGTGAGACCAGTGCAGCTTCTTTAATTCAGCACTGACTCCCAAGCTTGTTACTGCCTAAGAGCAGAACCATCAGTACCTAGAAAAAAGTTAATTTTGACATGAATTTTCATCCTGCCTTCCTGAAGAGCAGCTGGCACAGCACAAAGCTCCCTAAGACAGACTATTCCCACCAGCAGGAACTGCAGCTCACTGGGGGAAAGGCACGTCCTGGGATGCTACAACTGAGTGAGAGAACACGAGGAGTTTGTACAAGGAAAAAGAGATCCAAATGCTACACTGCAGGTGAATAGCAACTAATTGAAGTTACTCATTAACCCAGTCATAAGGTTCCACAAATAAATTTTCCAAATTTAACAGAGCAAGATTCTTTTGTGAACCATCACTGAAGTCTTTGCTGTAAAATAAATAAAATTCTCTGTAAAACTATGTTTTTCAGGCAAAATTATAAAATGAATTTACCATTGTATGCTTTGCCAGTAATGGGATGGTATAAAACTGAGAATAAACAATCTCTGTGGTATTAAGTGATGCTGCCCAAACTCACAGTGAGAAACAGAAGCAGCTGGCCCACTGGCAAATGGAGAAACTACCAGCCCAATCCAAATTTCTGACAGAAAGCCAACACTTTCTGTTCAGCAGCCAGAGTTCAGACAAAAAAAGCACAGAAAAGCACAGTCTGTACAATCTGCTCCTTACCTGGGGTGGCAAGGCAGAAGTGCAGGTTTTGTTGTTCTGCTCTTTTGCTACCTATTTATATATCTTCTGACAGTGTTTTCTTTTTCCTCTGTGCAGACACAGGCCCCACCAGAGAGCTGCTGTTGCTCCTAAAACTGGCAGCCTTGGCAGGCAGCACCACCAGCATCAGCCCTCATCACAGGCAAAGGTCAAACCTTATGATCTCCAGCCACACATTTGCTCTGAATCTCAACGCAGAGCTGGCTTTGTATCCCGAACCTTCACAGTAAGGAAAACAAAGCCATTAAATCACTAACTGTCCAAAATGGCCTGATCCACGTTTTAGCAGGTGGAGCCAGTTCCTAGCCCCCAAGTAATGGTTCTAATCCGTGCTAGTCAGTCTGGGATGCTCCTTCTTTTGCTGTGTACTCAGAGAATAAAATGCTTGTAAATCAAAGCATGCTCTGTGCTGTAGAAATGCTGCTCCTTGCTATGAGGTTATTCAACAAATAATCATGCACACATACAAATAAGTTTAAGACTGAGAGGAAGCAAAGAATATAGATAATACTGACGATCAGAATCTTCCAGAAGAGTTGCTCTGTTTGTCTGGCTTTGAGGTGTTTTTACAGGGGTCAAGGGCTGGTGGGAGGGGAACACAAGCTGCTTTGGGTCCACTGAGATGGCCAGACTGCAAGACATAGGAAGAGGGGTTTAATCTTGCTAGAAAAGTTGCTTTGTGTTGCTGCTTCTGTCTGAGGTGGAAGGAAGGTGGGAAATGTGTTCACCTATTAACAACGTGAAGTTTAAGAGAAAAGGAAACAAGGAGTGAAGGATAGAGGGTAGGGAGGGTAAAATGAGCAGCAAATGTTGGTAAGTAATTAACCTACTAGAAGATCAGTAGAAAATACAAGATTTAAATGGGCTTGGTTTTTGTTGGGTTTGGTTGTGGATTGATTTTAGAATTCCTTTTAATTGCAATGAGCTGTGCTTTCAAGGGTCACTGATCACATCCTAACAGTTTGCAGGGTCACTGCTGGAAAACTGGAAAACCTATTAGCTCAATAAAATTAATGATTTCATATTTTAAACAAGATATAATGTCTTGAAATATTTAACTTCATAAATCTTATCATTCATGTATTATATTTATGAATCCAATAGTTCTTAACTGAAAGCAGATTTAGTTTTGATATGGATTGAATGTATTTATGTTTGTATAGTTGTGCAGGAATTTTGATTTTCCAACAAACTTATTTTTCACGAATTTTAACTATTATAATTCCAGTGACTATTTTAACTATTGTAATTCCAGTGACTCAATTCGAATTACACCCAAGTTTGATGTAACAAAAGAATCAAGCCTAATTCTCAAAATAAGCCCATTATTGCCTACCATTTCCCCAAAACCAAAGACAACATTAAGATGCACATAAAAGATCCTGAATGGTGCAAACACAAAACTCACTTCAATTTTAATATGCTTAAAAAAACACGACCCCCACACACACACACATTGAGAGAGGGGAGCTTTGCATTCACTTTTTTCAGCCAGAGCCTTTGTGTTGCTTCAAAGATCAATGGATTGAAAAGCTGAGGGAACTACCTCAAGATTCTCAGTTCCTAGAACCAGAACGTGAAATAACTTCAGCTCACAACCACGTTTTTCCCTCTGCACAAATAAAGTCACATCTCAGAGAAGAAAAATGTGATGCCTTCAGTTGGGATTCATGTACCTTTTTAGACCAGCAGAGGTTAATGATAAATTCACTTGCCTTGCCAAAGACAAACCGTATAATTTCATCTCGACATTCCCACACAAATCCTAATTAAGGTAGTCTTCTAGTTTAGGGTTATAGCTGGGTTTGGGTAAACACTGTAAAAAAGGCCTGCAAACTAAAATTTCGCAGTAACAACTCTCACCACGCTACCAATTCATTTTTCAGAAAGATTCATATCCATGATTTTTCAGTCACCCAAGCATTTTTTGGGGGGAGCAAAATGTTTGTCTGAAAACTAAGCAAATAAATATTTGTGAAAAGGTCAGAGACAAAAGTTTTAAGCCAATGCCATTTTGAACTCATTTAATTCCACCTGCTAATAAAAATGGTGCTGACAATTGGTTGTTTCTATACTGAGGACAAACAAACAGTTGAAAATAAGGCAGATGTTTCACAAGTGATCCAAAACAACTGATGCATGTTCTAACAGTGCTTGCAGGTTCATGATAGCTCTAAACCAGCCCAAGTTTAGGTTGCTCCCAAAAAGGGCAGTTGTGCCCCAGCTCCCATGGAAGTGTCTGTTACGGTTCTTTTCCAAGCTTTGTGACAACCTCCTGTCTAGCTCTGGTTAATAAACATGTCTCAGCTAAATGTTCTGCAATATTAAAGCATCATTTATCACACTTGGGGGATTTTGAAGTCCCTTTTGAGTGCGAAATCCCTGAAAGGGCAAAGTATCTTTATAAGACTTTTAGCAGCATACCACAATTTAAAATAACCTAATAACTCAGTAGTTCAAATAGATAAGTTGCTACCACCCTTGCACAACTTAGGTCTGCTCCACATCCTCCCAGGTTTTAGATCAGATTCCCCTGGATGTAGACTGCTTTCCGAGACTTCATGCCTTTAACATTTCCTGCCTCTCTTCCACTGTGTTCCCGTTACGGCCCACCCCAAAACCGAGTGTTCTTGCCTCAGAGACACATTTAGTTATGTTTTATTACTTCCAATTAACTCAAGTGTGGACTCAGAGGGAGCAGTAAAACTGAAAGACTGCCTTTTGATAACGTTTGGTGGAATAAGAACCCACAGAAACCCCCTAAGATGCTGTTTCCCAGAATATTTGGTCTTTAATTCAGGATTTTGGATACACATCAAGATCTACTTGAGTCTCCTGTGCAAAAAGAAAAGGAGTGCAATTTTAGTGGAAAATCCACTAAGCTCTTTTTCATCCTGCAAAGCACAGTAATTGCTGTATGAGCCAAAAGTAACCAGTAACCAAGAACTAAAGGAAACAACACCTGCTTGCCTTTTCCCACTTTTCACTACAGCTCCATTTTTCCTGCTTCAAGAGCTCACCAATACATGATAATTATAGATACAGGCTCAGTTACTTACATCCATGATGAGTAATGTTACGATGTACGTTTTCCTTTTGCAACTAGGTCTTCTCCTGGACAGAGATTTTACCTTTCAAAGTAAACAAGACAAATAATGTCAACAAATGCAAAAATACTGCAGGCTATGAAGAGCCCAGTGGATTAAGATATCAGCCAAAGCTTCCCTTGGATAGAGTCCAGCCTATCTGGCATAACTGATTAATTGGGAAAGGACAAATGAAGGAAGAGAAAGGGAACAAAATTGTGCTGAGCTCAAGTATTTGGCCTGAAAATGCTCAAAATGCTTTTTAAGGAAAGATCAATACCGACATTTTTCAGATACAGAAGATCTGGCATATGGATTAAACAAATCAGCAACAGTCAGAAGCAAGCTGGTCACTTAGTTCCCAAATGTATAGCATCCTCTTGGGAATGCTTTGTTGCTAGTGAAACACATAGTCTGAATGCCACAGTGGTAGCTCCTCAACGTAAATAAAAAATAGAGGAACACTAAAGCATTCATTTTGTGCAACTGCACTATTTTATACATGTTAGCAATCACTGCAGGTATCCAGACCCCGCATTTAGCACCCTCTCACATCCAGAATAGTAAAGGTGGAAATTCAATGAGCCTGAGCCCATGAGGAATTGTACCACAGAGGAGTTATGATGAGCACAAAGGGTGTGAGCTCCTGGCTCTCCTCACTCAGATATCAAGAAAAGGTTCTTCACCCAGAGGGTGGCTGGGCAGTAGAACAGGCTCCCCAGGGGAGTGGTCACAGCACCAAGCCTGATGGAGCTCAAGGTGTGAGGCACTGGAGAACAGGCTGCCAGCTGTCCTGCACAGAGTCCATCCATCCATCCATCCATCCATCCATCCACTCCTCCTTCAATCTTCCCCCCACTGTCAGAACTGTGCACACGGAGATGTCTAAGGATGCCTCCCACAGCTCGTTGCTGCAGGACAAGCACTCCAACTGATAAGCACATTTTTGTCTCATACCATGCTCCGACAAGGACAGTTGAAATGATGCTGGTGAGACCTGGCACGATCTGGCTGAACATTCACCAAGCAGGCTTTGGAGCCCAGGAGACCGAATTGTTTTTCACAAGAATGTAATTTCTTCTCTCAGCATGCCCAATGATAAAGAATACAATGCTTTCCAGGGTAACAGGGTAAGTCACTTGAAAAAAAAGATACACCTATTAAGATGTATCATTTGAACTCTTCACCATCCTCTTGATAGGATATCATTCTGATGTTGACCAGCTTGTAGGAAAAAAATTTCAACTCACCTAAAGAAACACCAGCTCACACTTTGCTCACTGTCTCTCTCACATTTGGGCCTAATACCAGGAAAAAATAACTGGACACATTAGATTTTCCATGTCTAAACAACCCTTCTGATGATGGCTTTAGCATTTTATCATGAAACACCAGCATCAAATACCATTGAGACTACAGTCCTTTATCCCCTCTCCAGCTTCAGGTACTCATGCCCCTGATTACAGACTATCTTCCAACAAGGGTCAAAACATCATAACAGAGCAAGTTATACAAGACTAATTTATCTGCTACAAATCAGACATTCATAATAATTACATTAAATCAACTGCACATCTCTTATTACATCGATGCCTAACAGACACACAGCCCTAAATAAATCAAAGAAATCACTTGATTCTTGGAGAGCACAGTGAATATATTTTAATGTCTGATTTTAACGTGGGAAACATTTACAGTACTACAGTGCTTACAGAACATGTTCAAAATACACAAATACGCCATCTCAGGCAAGCAGCAGGGAGAGGAATTCTTGCAGGATTTTCCAGAAACATACTGAAGGTATGTATGTATTATATCAGCCTGGCACTGCTGTCAGTATAGTGACTGCACTTCCCATCACATCAAGAGCAGGACATGAAAGGAGAGCACTCCAGGTAACTCCACACATCATTGCACAGCCTGTTTCACGGTGGGTACTGCTGCCTTACAAGGACATGGAACTGAGTCCAAACAGTAGGGAGAGGTGAATGATTTGTCAAACCAGCTTATAAGTTCAGGAGGAGGAAGTCCAAAAGTAACCCATGTATTTTCTCTTGATCAGTCAAAAAAGACCAGCTTCCACTCTTACAGGAGACTGGCACATAACCACAGTCTGTTTGCTCTCGGCCAGGACCGTGTCCATGGCTATTTTCAGGACTCAGGAGAAAACGCAATCAGAGAGCAGGTTCACAGCCCCCAGCTACTGGTTTAGACTGAGAGATGAAGCCAGAAACCAGGGGAGAACAGTGATGAAGCAGCATGCTCATAAAGCTAACTTATATTGTGCCAGAACTGTTGAAAGGTGGATTTAAAAATCTTAGGGGGCACTTTCCAGGATGAAGTCTGGGGAGTGGGTTTGGGTTTGTGAAAGATTGCAAGATACACAGTCCCCACTTTTGCACGTGGAAACGGAGACACAGAGAACAAGAGAGACTGAAACTGCAACGAAGTTAAAATCAGAACTATGTCTTCTGTCTCCTGACACAACCAGAGTAATGTGGCAAAGTCAGCCCAAGCACAGAAAACAAGCCAGTCTGGAGAGACAGGGAGAGCCAAGGCAAACAGAATTACTGAACAACGATGGGATATCCCCTTTATTTTTAATTAAAATACAGCCAATAGTAGGATCCACTGCATTCACACTTACGCTTCTGGCTGCCCCCCAGCAACCTTGGTTGCTCTGTCTCAGCTCTGCCATGAGATGGCAGAGCAGCACCGTTCCTGCCGCGGAGGTGGGTGATCTCCATCCAGCAATTTGGTGTTGCCTGGTGTATAAACTTGCAGCGATGCAAGCAGCTGTACTAATCAAAATCAATCGCTTTCCCTCTGTACTGCAAGACAAAACTCGTTCAAATACAGTGAGATATCTAAAGTAATATCAAATAGTTCATGATCATTAATAGACTGTGTAGAAATGAATTTCGATCTGTTTTCACAGACTGCAGCGAAGGCTTCAGGAAAAATGAGAAATCTGCAAAATTATTTAATCATAATGAGGAACCACGTGATGAGTGACAGTGACATGCAGTCAGCACAGACCTTGCTGCAGGGGTTTTGTGTGGCTTTGCCAGTTTTGTGTCTCACTCTCAATGCTGAGGGTACCAGGGACAGTTATTTGCAAACCCTTTCTGCCCCACAGCAAACCTAAGTAGGATTCTTCCTAATACAAATAGATGCACTGACCCGAAGTCACCTGGGTTTAAGCTTTATGTAGCTTAGAATCCTCAAGCTGAATTAATATTCCTATTTTTTCACTTCCATAACTAACCCCCTGCTTGCAAGCAGCTTTTACCAGTGCAACCACCAGCAATATCTGCTGCCACAAGGGACTCACAGCTTAGCTACTACCAGCAATGGAATATTAGTTCTTTCCTTTAGGGAAAATAGGTTGTAAATACCATACAGTAGGATGAAAGAGGGGAAGTAGAAAACATTTCTCTTGAAATTGAGGGGATTCCCTGTCTCTGCAATGGTTGATGTAGCTATAAATACCCAGCAGGAAATGAGAACTGCCTTACAAAATATTCAGTACTTAAGAGTGTGCAAACACAACTGGAGAAATAATTGTGACAGGGTGAAGAGACAGAAAGAGTAAAAGCAAAAAAAGCTAAATAATGGAGCTACTAAAAAACCCCCTTTTTTATATGTATGTAATATG